ACTGATTTGAATCCAAAATTTTAAAAATTCGTAATTCTACCAATTCTTGAGAGAAGTTGACGATCTTATATTCATTCGAAAGCCAAAATTCCATCATTTATCATAATAAAAAATCGTAAGTTGTTATTATGTAAACTTTAAAGATCGTTGGAAAGTTAAAATCTCAAAAATCTATGCCTATATAATCAATTAATCATTATAATTTGATTTAATCTTCACCAAAATTCAATTGATTGAAATAAAAACTTTTGTAGTATATATTACCTCAACCTATATGCTATGCTTATACATGATTATCATTCATTGATGTATAAAAAAAAATTGTTTTTGATTTTTTACTGATTTGAGTCCAAAATTTAAAAAATTTGTAATTCTACCAATTCTTGAGCTAAGTTGATGATCTTATATTCATTCGAAAGCCAAAGTTCCATGATTTATCAACCAAAAAAATCGTATGTTGTTATTATGTAAACTTTAAAGATCATTAGAAAGTTAAAATCTCAATGATCTACACCTATATAATCAATTAATCATTATAATTTGATTTAATCTTCACCAAAGTTCAATTGATTGAAATAAAAACTTTTGTAGTATATTACCTCCTTAACCTATATGCTATGCTTATACATGATTATCATTCATTGATGTATAAAAAAATAGTCTTGGATTTTTTTTTACACCCAAAAGTTTAAAATTTCAAAATTTTGTAATTCTACCAATTCTTGGCATAAGTTGACGATCTTATATTCATTTGAAAGCCAGAGTTCTATCATTAATCATACTAAAAAAATCGTATGTTGTTGTTATGTGGACTTTAAAGATCGTCAGAAAGTTAAAATCTCAGCAATCTACGCCTATATAATCAATTAATCAATTATCATTTGATTTAATCTTAACCAAAATTCAATAAAAAATTTTGTAACCTCACCTTCACAATTTATATGTTATACTTATAGATTATTACCATTCGTTGGTGTATAAAAAAATAGTCTTGGATTTTTTTTTACACCCAAAAGTTTAAAATTTCAAAATTTTGTAATTCTATCAATTCTTGGAATAAGTTGATGATCTTAGATTCATTTGAAAGCTAAACTTTCATCATTAATCAACCAAAAAAATTGTATGTTGTTATTGTGTAGACTTTAAAGATCGTTGACAGTTAACCACTCACATTAAAATTCCTTGGTTTGATTAATATACAAAAAACCAATATTTTGCATCTCTCTTCTCCTTTTCCTGGTATCATTATATTTGCTTGCTTAACCATTATTAATTACATTTATCATTGTAGGAATAAAACATAAAGGAATTTTTAATGTCTATTTATAAAAAACCATAAACCATATTTATATAATATTATCTTTTTAATATTATTGATTTTTAAAATAAATGATTTTACTATAAAAGACATACCTAAGTGATCAAGAGCCTGTAAATATTCATAATAATGTAATATTTGGGCATTTATTTCTACTTTTGTTTGCAATTGGACGCGCCAAACCAATTTCTGCATATACGAGTATAAAGGCAAAATTTGACTTTGAGGGTCAGATTATTTTCGGTTTTATTAACAACCTGCTTTAAAAATTTTCATAAAGCAGATAGATATATATGATAAAGAAGTTATATCTCAAATTTGCTCACAGAAAGGGTATCAAACGAGAGTGTGAAGACATTCGATTATAAAATTTCACTATTACTATTACTATTACTATGTAAATTCGAATTTTACTACGCGGCGGGAAATGTCATGCGACTGTAATCTTTCCACAACAGATTTTAAATAAAATTTCTTATGTGTTCATTCGCTGTGACAAGGTTGACTGTGTTTAGTGAAACTGGAAACACAATGACAGCCAAACGAACAAAATTGAATCCATTATTATTCGAAAAGATTGTATTTCTGCTTGATTCTCCTATATATCAAAACATTAAGTTTAAAAACTTATTTATTAATTAATTAATTAATTGAAAAATTAAATTGGAAATTATTATTTTATTATAATATATCATATTTAGAGAATTTTGTTTATTACTATCTAAAATATTCTTATAAAGTGAGACACTTCTTTCTGCACTACAGCTAGATATAGGCAACCATATATTTCAGAGAATTTTAGAAAGAATTGGTAATTGATCTTGAAGATTTATCCAATACTTATCAAATCTGCATCACCGATTAATCCACTTGTACACCACAATAAATTGCACATTCATTCAACAATTCATCAGAAGGGGATTCCAATTCTTAATTTTTCTGTATTGATGCAAGTTTTTTCTTTCCAAAGGACCAAGTAAAATAAATTTTATTCTTCATTATTTATTTATTTCATATAATATCATAATTATTTAGTAGGGATTAGCATGTCTAAAGCACAATATCATGCTTGTTTAAAGCATTACTTTATGGATAAGACATAAAGTTGTAATTACACCAGAGACATGTATTTATGTGTAAAGCATAAAGTGGTGTTGAAAACATAATAATATGTTGAAGAAATAAAATAACGTGAGAAACAAAGTCTTATGTTGAAACCATTACTAATTAAATTAATTGTGTAGATTTGACATATTTGTAAAATAACTTTGTGATAAAGTTTTAATAACTTTAACTTTGTTTGCTAATAAAAACTAATTCGTTAGTAATAATAGCGAATTCATTCTGATCCACATAATCATAAATTTATCAATTCATACACTCTTCCAAATAATAATTGGTGATACTATGTTAAAGTAAATATATAGATCAGTACTAATGTATGGCTCAGCAATTTTTTTAATTTAAGTCAATAAGTTTTGGAGCTTGCTTGAGTCATGAACAATAAATTTATCAGTTAACTTTTTTGAAAATGATTTTGTTTTAATATTTTTGAATGTTACTATATATAAGAAATTAATTAGATGATCTGAACCATATCAAAGAGATCCTATGGGAGGAATCTCCCCTGATCGGGGAGATTTAACAAAATAATTGATCATTCATTATATATGTTTTTCCAATTGTTAATAATAATAAGTATGATGAACTTTTTCAAAAAAATCTTTTATTATATAAGATTTAAAAAAAAAACCTATATAATTAATTAATGGAAATATTAAATAATACTATATCAATTGCTAATATTCTCTCACCAAGAATTTTATTTAAAAATCTAATTGTTCTTTCAAAAAAATTTTTATTTTAATATTTTTCGTATGAAAGTTTCATTTATTAGGTGGTGCATATCTAAATAAATAAAAAGAGGTAAAGAAAATTTTTTAATTAAATGATGATGACACAAAATAATTTTGATAATTGATAACGATACATACAAAATCTTTCTGGATTTAATAGTAGTCCATTTCCAACGTTTTAGGTAAACAGAAAGTGCCAACATTATTGATAAAATTGCTATTGCTTTAAGTCCCATTTTCTTACGAGCATCATGTTCAGGTTCTGCTGCCCAATTTAAGAAAGTTGTAACATCTTTTGCCATCTGTGATGTAGTAGCCGGTGTTCCTATATAATTTAAAGTTGATAATAATTAAGCATCACAGCAGTAAAAGTAGTTTATTAAAGAAAAATTTTCTTTAAGTTCATTCAAATATACCATCTTCGTATTCAATTAAGCCATCATGTAAGGCTCTGGCCATTGCAATAGATCCACCAGGGAAATAAGGGTTGTAATAAAGACCTTCACGCATTTCAACACCAGCTGGTGGATCAACATAACCAGTTAGAAGAGCAAATAAGTAATCCTGAGAATTTTTAATAAGCATATAATAAAAATAAATAAATAAACAAACAAATATGAATTTTGAAATTTCACAATTAATATTAAAATATAAAATGTAATGGTAATAATAATACATACAGAACCATGCTCACGTGCATTAGTAATTAATGAAAGATCTGGTGGAAGAGCTCCTGCATTAGCAGCACGAGCAGCCTCATCATTTGGATAAGGACGTGGCATGTAATCAGAAAGCCTTCCTGGCCTTTGATAATATTCACCAATATCATTAGGACCATCTCTGTATTCTACTTCCTCAGCCATTGCTTTCAATTCCTCTTCACTGTGTGACACGCCTACTAAATGACGCCAAGCAATACGGTCAAGAGAATGACATGCAGAACAAATTTCTCTATAAACTTGATAACCACGACGGATGCTTTTATTTTAATTCCAAAAGTATTTTTATAAACATAGATATAGAAAGAGCAATCAATCTAATTAACTATCAATTCTAATCAAAAAAATATGTATTGATTCAAATACCTTAAAAGGATTGATATATTTTTTTTTAACTTTTTTAAATATCACAAAAAAAATCTCACCTAGCATGGTCAAAAGTATTGAAAGGACTGCGATGAATCCAAGGATATGAAGGTGGATGAAGACCTTCTTCAGCCATATTAGCATAAATTGTATTAAAATAAAGGTAACAACCAATACCAACTGTTGTTGTTGCTGCCAATACTGGGGCAGCTATGAATTTTGTATGCTATCAAAGAGATTTTCATTTCATATTAAAAAAAAAAATCAATTATTTCATTTAAATTTTCACAACGATTTTCCTTGAAAATTTTTTTTTGCATAATATCATATAATTAATATTATTTTGAAAATTTTTCGTTTCAAATATATAGAACATTGTTACAATTAACATTTTTTTACAGTAACTACCTAGACCTCAAAAAATAAAGTTTTCACTGTATAAATACGAACCGACTTAGATGTAGTAGAAGTGCCCGTTATGTTTCGTGTCTATTCATCCAGATTTTTAATTATTTAACTGAAAAAACCCCACTTGTATGAAAAGAAATATATTATATGTGTTTGCTAACCTGTTTAGGGGTGACCTTAACCCATTGCTTAATAGTTGTTTTTGCAGTTCGACTAGAAAATCTTGAAAACATAATCTCTCGAATTTAAAAAATTTTTTTTTAATCTACTCGGTTATTGATTGTATAACATTCGTGTTACTTTAAACCTTATATATAGTTTTTTTTCTAAAAAATGTCTGAACAAACAATTCCAACGGAAAAAAAAAGTGAAAATTGTTTATCATTAGATACAGAAGAACAAAATAAAAGACGTTTTCAAATAGAATTAGAATTTGTTCAGTGTTTGGCAAATCCATGGTATTTACATGGTTTGTGAAATTATTAGAATTATAATATATATATTTTTTTATATATATATTTTACTAATTGATGTATAAATAAAAAGATTTAGCTCAAAAAGATTATTTTCAAGATCGAGCATTTCTTAACTATTTAAAATACCTTAGATATTGGAAACAACCTGAATATGCAAAATATATAATGTAAGATAATAATGATATTATTAAATTTTATATATGATTAGTAATTATTCATTCATTCTAAAAAAAAATTCAATGTTTCATAGTTATCCTCATGCACTTCACTTTTTAGATCTTCTTCAAAATCCACAATTTCGCCAAGATTTGAAAAAACAAGACATAGCAACTGAGATTCATTCTAAACAATATTATCATTGGATGGCATGGAGGAACATTGATGTGAACGTAGTTAGATCAATAGGTAGTAGTAGTAATGCACAGTAAAAATGAAACTTGCTACTGGTATGCCATAAAATTTATTTAATCATCTCATCTTGTTTTAACGGTATAAAAAAATTTGATTATTTTATAAATATTGTCTTTATTAGCGAATGAATCAA